ACTTCTGGCTTTGCACTCAGGAATCACTCCTGGCGGTGCTCGGGGGACCATATAGGATGCTGGGAATCGAACCCAGGTCAGCCGCATGCAAGGCAAATGCCCTACCCGCTGTGCTATTGCTCCAGCCCCTGACTTTGCCTTTTTTTCTGTAGCCCCAGAGTAATTTGAGTCTCTCTTTGCTCTCAACGAAGCCCAATATTTATTGGTGTGAAGGGGACGGAGCAAATCCATCACTACTACAGGGAAATCAGTCCCAAACATGTAGGTCAGTGATGCCATCAGTTTCTCTTCCCCTTGTGGACTGAGTGAAGAAGCTGATCCCTTGGACCAGATGGGAGAGCCCCACAGTTGGCTCATGCTGGGAGGAGAACAGACGGACTTGTCCCAGGGAGGGTCCCTGTGCCATGTGTCGGCTGCATCACCCACTGCTTTCATTTAATTGATTTATATCAATCTCCCGTCCAAAACTAATTTGTTTCAACTCTAGGGCAATCAACAGAGATGACATGGCACACACCCTTACCCCGGAACATTTTTCTCCCGTGTTACTGCTTATAAATACCCTCCACGCTATTGTACGTATGCAAATGGAGGCAAAGTCCTAAGGCTCCCAAGGAAAGAGAGCTAGCTTGCTGCAAGGGGAGGACTGCGCTGAGCTGAAGGAGCTGTCGCTGATAACTGCGGCCTTGTCCAGAATAGTGCCTGGGAGCTTTCTTATCTCCCTTTGGCAGGAGGTGCTGGGAGCTTCCTGTGCGAAATCAGGAGCTAACTCTGTTTTCCTCTTGTTGTTCAGCTTCCTCCACCCTCAAGACGGTTCCCAGCACAGTGATTATCTTTGCATCTTCAAACATGGCACAATCTACTTCCTTAAGAGCTTGATGTATTCTTAAGGCATAGGCAAATTCCCCTCCCCCCATCCCTTTTCAAGTGTCGTTATATAGTCGGGCTCAGAAATTACATTCTATTTTTATGGTTTCAGTGACAAAGAGGGAAAGATATCAGTCCCCAGATTACAAAATCACCGCTGAATCGCTCCTTTACTGGTGAAGTTAGCGGTAAATCTTGCCTGTCATTTTTCTATCTACCATAGTTTGCTTGTGGCCTTAGAGGTTTTTTTTGGGAGGGGGGGGGCGCGGTTCAGGGGGTTGCTGCTGGTGGGATGGCAAAGGCTGACAGTCCCGAGTGAACTCAAAGGACAGGCTGAGTTTCCCAAGGGAAATGGCTAGTCTCACTTTTAGCATATTTCTTTGTATTTCCTCAAGCCCAAGAGTCTAAAATTTAGATCTTTGTCTAAGACCTCCTTTATCTTTTTCACTTCTTTGGGGGAAAGAGGAATGAAACGAAAAGTTTCTTTTCAGATGCAAAAGGATTTCAGCAATTTCATATAATAATGCTAAGTACATGCACTTGCCTACTATATGTATAAAATTGACTATTGTAACTCTATGTGTGTGTAATAAACAATTAGAGATGTGTAGCATATAGATATATTGGAAAACTCTATGTGTGCAAAACTCTATGTGTGCAAGACAGAAGGCCAGCAATAGTTTAAGATATGGTGGTTAGAGTTTAAAAAACAAGAATACTAGTAATGAAAAATAGGGCAAAGTGGCTTATGTTATTATTTTTAAGCCTCATTTTGAAAATGTTTCAAGTAAAGGAGAAAATGAGTAATGTCTGATGCAATTTCCTCTACTATTCAAGACAAGTTAAAATGTTCTACTTATTTGACCTGATGGTTATAGGAATAACTTGTCACTCTTACAATTTAACTGTTAAAAAATAAACATTAAAAAACATTTGAGGAGGGAGCTGGAGAGATGATAGAGTATTAAGCCACTTGCCTCACACTTGGCAGACAAGGATTTGATCCTGGGCACCTCATATGGTCTTTCAAGTACTGGCAGGACTGATCCCTGATCACAGAACCAGGAATAAGCCCCAAACACCACGAGATGTGGCCCCCAAACAAAGCCAAAAAGAAACCCCTAAAAACATTTGGGAAAATACTGTATATACCAGGAACAGATAGCACCATGGAATTATTGCTAATTCTGTTTGGTCTAGTAAGATTGTTAATATTGTTATTATACATGGTAACTTCTACATCATCTATAATAACATTATTACATTAGAAAATGTGCATTTACAAGTATGTAAGGCAAATTGACAATGTCTGGGGGTTGCTTTAAATGCTCATATCAGGGGCTGGAGAAATAACACAGCAGGTAGGGTATTAGCCTTGCACGCAGCCGACCTGGGTTCGATTCCCAGCATCCCATATGTTCCCCTGAGCACTGCCAGGAGTAATTCCTGAGTGCAGAGCCAGGAGTAACCCCTGTGCATCGCTGGGTGTGACGCAAAAAAAGCAAAAACAAAAACAAAGCAAAAAATAAATTAATTAATGCTCATAGCAAAAAAGAGAGAAGGGATAGATGAAAGAAATGTGGCAACATCTTATAATTAAGTCTGGGAAAGGAAATGGGGTTAAATGAGATTTATTATATTGTCACGACCAATTAGATTGTGTGCAAATAACAACTAAAAGAGATGGAAACTTAGAAACAAGATACCAGTGCTGCATGCCTTTCTATATGTTTACAAATGTTTGAGAGTGACCAATTACAAACTCGATGCTTGCCTAACAATGAGGGCAGTAGATAACAGAAGTAAGGCCTGTCCCCCCCTGAGTCGAGTCAGAGACTCAGAAGCATCACAGGGAATTTTAGAAAGGGTCAGGCCTTGTGCGTTTAACAGATCAATGTATCCCTACCCAGTGGTTGAATAGTCTAGAATCTTTTCTCAGTTCAAAGAGCAAAGTGGAATCATTGGAACTTTTTCCTATCATAATCTCCTCTGTGCACCTTTCCCCTCCCCCCTCCCCCCACTTCATTTATCTTCTCACTTTCATCTCTCAGAAGTCACAGCTGCCTTTGACTAGTTAAGATCAATCGCTCTGGAAACCCTCTGGAAACAATCTCTGGAAATAGGGCTTTAAAATTCCTTTTGGTTTCAAAATCTCTAGTATCTGCCCCAAACATGTACCAACTAGAGCCCAGCAAGCTTTCTGCTTACCACAAATTACAAGATTTGTGGTGGGAGTACAGATTGATTTCATGAAAGGTTCCTTGGCACAATTCATGGTGAAAAGAACCACTTCCGCACATAAGGTACTTTCTCTGTAGGCTAGGAGCTGGCGGGGGTAACCGAGCCTAGATTGAAGTTGGGAAACCTCGGCACCAAAGGCCAGCAGGATCACAGGTAATGACAGAGAAATGAAAACCTGGGGAACCCAGGTTTTGAAGACAATCTTTGTATATTTGTTTTGTGTGCCAAATAAACCCAGACCTTAACCTCAAAAGGCTCTTTTGAGGGAATCCAAATCCATTTTGCAGTCAGCAAAAAAAAAAAAAGCAAGCAAATTCTCTGCCCGTGGTAAGCTGCTGTGTGTTAGGTCTCTAGTACAGTCCTCAGGTTATTTCATTACCTATTTGAGCGAAGTGTGAACACTTAAGTTCCAGTATAGATTCAGGTAAACTAGCACTGAGCTCATGGAGTGGTTCTGAGCGTGGAAGTTGCGAGGGACTGTGGAAGCAGTGATTCAGATGAGGTGCTTAGATGCTTAGAGAAGACCCAGAGATAGGAGAGGTCTCAAGGATGGTAGGTGTACAGGTAAAGAGCCTAGGGATGGCCTATATGGCACATACCTTACAATAAGGAGAATTCTTTACTTTTCTATGATGTCTGTAACTTACAAAGCCTCTTCAAGTAAATTAAGTTGTTAAATGTGTGTCCGGTCCTGTGAGGTTCACTGGGGAGATATATTTTTGTTCTCAATTTTCAGCAAAGAAAACTTGTCCCACAGCTATGAGAAGACAGGGTGGGACTAGGATTGACTTCCTCTGACTCCTGGTCCAGTTCTCTTTGAACTACCTGTTTGGCTAGAACAAAGAGTTTCTGTAGGCGTAAGGTTAGAACAGCAGGTAGGGAATGGACGGTGCATGGCCTTGACTGTTAGACAGAGATACTTGCCCTGTAGGCATTTGAGGAACAGAAGGGATGCCACTGAGGGACAAGAATGTTCTCAGTGTTGGTCTGGGAATGGTTTTGAGGGTGTTGAAATGGAAAAGTGAGCTGGTGCAAGACTAGGGTCAGAGTGGACAGACCTAAATATTCTCTCTTCTCATTAGGTTGTTTTTCTTTCACGTAAAACATAGATTACAGTACAACCTAGTACATGATGAGTCAGTATTGACAGCAGTGATACCAGCAGTTTACTACATGAAAATAGAAATCTGCTGATGCCAGCATGTTTGAGAGAACAGGCCACCTTCCAGGCATAGGTCAAAAATCTCTCTTTAAGACATATTCTCCTAGGAAGTTTAAATAAAAAGAGAGATTTTGTGATTTTTAAAATTTAGAATCAGATCTTTAAGATAGACAGCTCCAACACTTTGAATCGTATCATTGAACACTCAAAGCCTGAGAAGTTAAAGGACTTGCCGTGCTATCGCTAAACTTTAAAGGAAATAGACTGGATTTTATAACTGCTCCTTGGTGAGTTTTTCCATGTGTGCCTAATTAGCCCTGGAAAAAAGTTAGCTGGAAAATGGAATATTCCGATCAAAAGTCAGCCTTTTATAGATGCGAAATTCTATTGTTTCCTTGAGCTTTCCATTTATTAACATAGTTTCAATTTTTTCTGTGTACATATTTCTCCTTCTAGGAACTAATTAAATTCTAGATGCTAAGTTTTACTGTTTATTTTTTATTTATTGAGGATAGGAAGAATGCATAGAGGCATTTTTCTCAAGTCAAACAACTATATTTGCTATTTTTTGTGAGAATGGTTATCAGGGAGAAGTCTAAACTTTAAATAAACATGTGATTTTGTCATCTCAAGACTTCACCACTGGTTTCTGTTCCATCTGTTACCAGGCTTTGGGCCATGCCACAGAACAATCTTTTGATTGATGCCTTTTTCTTTCTTTTTCATCTAGGTCTGATTCTTGTTCCAGGAGCGAAGAGTCCTTTATCCTGGACTCTAACAACATCATAGGAAACAGAATTGAGAGTATCACTCAGCGTATCGCAATCATAGAAGGAAAGAACAAGGTATTGTTTATTTAAAAAAAAAAAGAAAAGAAAAAAGCTTTGGCGTATTTATTTTAAAAATTTTCTGTCAGATCCTTGTTCTGGCTTTATCAGAACCAGAAGTAATTCAGATGCTCTGACAAAAATTCCATGAGAAAATAGGTAATAAGTGAGATACATCTTCATGGAGAGACACACTAGCAACGGTTATTTTCTCCAACTGGCCACCAGTTCCAAAGCAATAAGTACTCAACCCTAAGAGCAGAGCTGCCCCTGAAACATCCAACCAATCTGCATCAGAGTTCCCCAGTCCCAGCAGCTTACTCGAATCCTCTACTAATTATGACTGCATTTGAGTCTCTGCAGTGAAACCTGGGCTCTATAAATGCTCCCCAGGAAATTCTAGCATATAGCCAGGACTGGGAGTCACTGACATTCTTTAAACTGACTCTTGATAAGCAAAGGACAGAACAATCCTTAAGACTCAAATGGACCAGTGTCCATTTCCCAGAGTACTCCTTTATCCTTTCTGTGCAGAAGTGAAGTCTGATTAAGTTGTGCCCTACAAGCGCACACATTTCCTGAAATGATTAGTGTCCAGCAGACCTCTTTTTCTGATTGATGCTTTTGCATCATTTCTACTCACCTCATCTCCAGAGTCTCAGTATCACTGTTGCCTTATAAACCAGGTACATCTCAATGTTATCCTATGGAATGAGCAAAAATACATTTAAAAATCTGCTGATGGGCCTGAAGAGATTGTACGGCAGGTAGGGCACTTGCCTTGTATGCAGCTAACCCAAGTTTGATCCCTGTTATCCCGTATGGTCCCCTGAGCACCACCAGGAATGATCCCTGGGCAGAATCAAGAGTAAGCCCTGAGCACAGCTGGGTGTGGCCCCTGAAAAAAAGAAACAAATCTTCTGTTACCAGACAAAGGGTTCACAATGCTTTATAAAAGAAGAAACTCAAATGACCCTTTATAAAAGGTCTATTGTACATGTATAACTCGATTTGGGATAGTCTGTTAATAAAAATGTCACCGTCGGCCTGAATGTGGCTGTGTTTCTGGGATCTATTCATTCCGTGGTATTCTTTGCATTTGAAGACAACAAAGCAGATGTCATTGTTCTCCATGTAAGATTTAACAATAATTATAACAACAAATAACATCTGTATTCTTCATTATGTAAAAAAATTTTGACATATGCTAAGGTCAACATCATTCTTTGGCGGACCAGAGTAGTCACTCCTATTTTTTTAATTAAAAAAAATTTTTTTCAGTTTTGGGGTTACACCTTCTTCAGTGGCCAAGGGCTATTTATTCTCATGTCAATGCTTGGGGTCACTCTCAGTGGTGCTCAAGTTTCAAACCCTGGACTTCTGTATGTAAAGCATGCACTGGAGCCTTTTGAGCTTTCTCCCTGACCCAGTTACTCCATTTTATTTATATATTATGCATATATATATACAAATATATATATATATTGGCTTTTGCTTTTTGGCCACACCCTATGGTACTCAGAGTTTACTCTTGGCTCAGCTTTCAGGGATCACTCCTTATAGGCTATGGAGAATATATGGGGTGCCAGGTTTTCAACCAGGTTGGCAGCGTGCAGGGCAAATACCATACTCATACTATCACTCTGACTCCCTCCTAATGACTTTGAGACAATTAGCACCCTTAAAACTGTTCTTTGAGGGACAAGAGAGATAGTACAGCAGGCAGGGTGCTTGCCTTGCATGCAGTCAACTCAGGTTGGATCCCTGTCATTCCATATGGTACCCTGATCCCCAACCAGGAGTAGTGCAGAGCCAGGAGTAAGTCCTGAGCACCACTCTGCCAGGTGTGGCCCAAAAACAAGTAACTCTATTTTAAAGATTAAAAAAACAACAACAATAAAATCAAGGGTGACTTGCTGATTATCTCAAAAGCACACCACATAAAAGTAAAAGTAGGAGGGCCGGAGCAATAGTAGGGCATTTGCCTTACACGAAGCCAATCCAGGTTCCATCCCTGGCATTCCATATGATCCTCCAAGCCCACCAATTCCTGAGTGCAGAGCCAGGAGTAAATGCTGAACACGCTGTGTGTGGCCCAAAACGGATAAAATTTAAAAAGCTTTAAAAGTAAAAAAGGTGAAATTCAAAACAGGGTCTCCTTCTTCTAAAACCCATAATATCAACACAGATGACTTGCATGATAATATCAACAATCATTAGTCAAAGATATAGAAAAAGTTTCTATTACTTCAGCAACAGCTTTAAGTGGTTTACAGCTACTTTTCCCTAATGTAAATGAAAATATTAAATAGATTAAAACATCCTATGATGGATAAGCTATTGAGAGAAGTCTAATGAATTACTTAGAAAAGGAGAAATTCTATAACTTGAAAGCTTATAGAAAGTTATTTTCTTTCATAAAAATTGAAAATAACTTAGGCCTAAGAGATAGTACAGCAGATCAGGTGCTTGCCTTGCTTGCACCCAACCCAGCTTCGATCCCTGGCACCCATATGGTCCCCTGAGTCAACCATGAGCACTGCAGAGCACAGAGCCAGAAATAGGTCCTGAGTATCACCTGGTATGGCCCCTAAAACAGAAACAAACAAAATGGCCTTAATATAAAGTAAGTTTATCACCCAAGGTACTAGAAAAATTTCAAGATATTGTTGATTGTCAATTCATTTTGCCTTCTCTTAGATATGTTAAACTGCTGGATAACCAAACTGTAATTTACCTGTTCATTGCAGTGTAACATTAACTCCCACTTTGATATATTTATGGCAAAGATTGTTATAGAAAAGAAAAATGAAAAATGTAGAATGCTAAAGGAAGTTTCCAATTTGCTCAATCCATGACGTAGTAATGTGAATTTGGAATTAGAGCCATCTGATTGAAAAGGTAGTGTAGTGTGGTAACAAAACTTGGCTGAAGTAAAAAAAGGTCTTCTGCTTTTTTTTATGTGGGCTTGAAATATAGTTATTGACTTGTAGTTTTTTAGGTATGTAAAAGGTTTTAAATAAAGATCTCAAATCTCTTGGTATCCGTATTGTCCAGTCTGCAGCTGGGAACCCAAGGACCTCACTCCACCACCTACAGTCTTGTCTAGCTAATGCAGATCAACTTGCCTCTCTGGATTCTCTCCTTTAGGAATTGGAGCTGCCTATAATTGCCCTGCCTTGTTTACCCACTGTTATAAATATGAGTGTTATACATACTGCAAGTTGAAATTGATATTTGTCTCTCTTTGAATCTATCTAGATGGAGAGAGTTCTATCAAATTAGATTAGATGATAGTTCAAGTGCATATTCTATTATTAATGTAGTTCCAATGTAGTAGATTGGGTAAATTATTAGTTTTATTTTGTAGATTTAAGATAATGTACTACTTTTATTTTTAGCATCTGTGAGTATGTCCTTTTCTGTTTGTGAAAAAAATTATTTTCACATGGCAATAAGAAATGAAAGTTCTTCTAAATTAGAATTATTTGCCCTGGTCTTTTCCTTCCAGTGGTAACTTGTTCTTATTTTCTACACTTTATTTCTTTCTCTTTTTATTTTTTTAATTGAATCACTGTGAGATTCACAGTTACAAAGTTATTCATGATTGAGATTAATAGAATGATCCGGTGCCCTTCACCATTGTACATTCTCACCGCCAGTGTCCCCAGTTTCCCTCCTGCCACTCTTCCTACCTGCCCCCACCCCACCACCGCTCCAGTCTGCCTCTGTCAGGCACTTTCTTTTATCTCTGTTTCTGTCACTCGCTCCCTCTCTCTCTTCATTCTGGGCATTCTGGTTTGCAGTACTGAGAAGTTATTGTGTATATCCCTTTACCTACTTTCAGCACTCAATTCTTGTTTTTCTTGTTTTCTTCACTTTCTTGAAAGTAAATTAAAGTCCCAATTCACATTATGAGGATCCTTTACTATAAAGTCACATGGCTAGAAATTCTCCATTGCTTAGTGGAACAACTGGGATACAACTAGAACACTTGATAGATTTCAGAGACTTACATTTTTTTTTCATTTTGTTGCTTAAATCAAGACAAGGTGTAGAGGAAAATCAAATTCAGTTTCCTTATTGGCAAGTTTTGGGCTAGAATTGTGAAAAGTGAGTCATCAACTGGAGAGATGCAAATGTGGACTTTCAGTATTGTTTCAAAGGGATTGCCGGACAATTACATCTGTAAATGTGGAATAGGAAGTGAAAGGAACTCAGTACTAGGGAAAGAAAAAAAACATATGGGAAATACATATGACAGCATTAATGCTTAGAGGTTGGAGGACTGGTCAGTTCATTATTTTAGCAACATTTCCATTTACCATTGCCCTGGATACATTGAGAAATACAGGTACTGAATGAATCAAATCCATGGCAGGAGCATTAAAACCTAATTCCAGAAACATTGTTAGTATCTGTGTTCTCACTGGTAGCCATTATTTTGCTAATTCTTAAGTTCTACCATACCATCAGTTAGTTCAAATCTGCCATCCTGGGCTAATTTTAAGCACTTCCATGGTCTTTAGATATCTCCTTTTATTCTTTGGAAACATTTTCTAGGAAACTATATCAGAAACACCCTGAGATTAAAATCATTGTTCCATATATAGATTTTTAAAAACTAATGCTGGAAATTGGACTCAATTACACATATCCCATTCATTATATTCCATGGGGTTCTAACTACATTGTCATAGTGAATTACTAATGCTTAGCAAAGGGAAGGAAGGAAGGTGTGAATAATCCCCACAGTTACAATACCTGATGATAATTTTCATCACTGTTCCTGAGTCAGACAAAAGAACACAGAAGAGAATTTAAGGCTGGTGTTTGAAAGCTTAATCTTGAGGTCCTGGCATCAGACACCGCCACAGAAAGGGTTCAGAACTAAAAATAAATTGTGGCAAATGAAAACTTGTTCTAGAACTAATACAAGCAGACATCCTTGAGAATTCCTCTCTATTTTTTTGTTGTACCTTGATTATAATTTCAAACATATGTTATAACTCAGACTCTTGGCACCTTCTCTTTTATAATATTAAGTTGATATCTGGCACTCCAAACTGTTATGCTACCTTCACGTCTTCCCCCTTGAAGCAATAGCGTTTGGCTATGAGCACTAGGGAACAGATTCGTCCCTGTAACTCAAGAGACAACTGTATGTGAGAAATTGTCTCTAGCCAGCCAGATGATACTCACCGACAACTTAGCACTAGTGGTCCTATAAAAATGTATCATTCTCTTGTCAAATTTTTGTCAATCCATGGTCAACCCATTGCCTTTTATTTCTCATGAAAATAGAGTGTGATGTCTAATTTTAAGAATATATTCTCTGGAAAAGGGTAGGTACTATAGAAATCTGATCACAGGATGTGTGTCATCATCTTTATATCTTCTTTTTTTAATGACTTTTTGGACTCCATTATTTATTTATTCGTTAACCCCTTTTCTTCTTCCTCCCCACAGAACCCTATTCTTTCCCCCTTGTTTTTTTTCCCTTTTGGGGGATGAAAAATCTCTGGAACTGCAGATGAGAGCGCCTTTCACGTTTGTTTCCCCACATCTTTCCTTCCCCCACTTTCCCTCCTCCAGGGGTTTTTCATTCCAACTCTGGGATTTCCTTCCTCGTGGCCACTCCGATGGGGACTGAGTTCCCATCTTTATATTTCAATTATAATTTTTTCTTTGTTTTTTTTTTGGTTTGGGAGCCACACCCAGCAGTGCTCAGGGCTTACTCCTGGTTCTGTGCTCGGGAATCATTCCTAGCCTGCTTGGGGAACCATTTACAGTGCTGGAATGCAACCCACATCAGCTACATGCAAGGCAAGAATCTTGCCCTCCATACTCTTTCCAGTCCAATTATAACTTTTCATCATTAGTCCTGTTTTCAAACTACATTAAGTGTCTGTGGACAAATAGCTTACAGCTTGTATAAAAATACTATCAAAGAAGAAATTCTAGTACTTCTGTCCATTGTAGCATTTAGTGACCCCTGTCTGCTGATTTAAGGGGGTATTCTTAAAGGCAAACACAACTGAGAGAGTAGACAAAACTCTAACAATAAAGCTATATTCCCACCAGAGCTACATTAATCAGTTTAAAGCATTTTGAGATAAGCAGATTTATATGAAGATTAAGAGCATAAGCACTGAGACCAGACTGATATAGGCTAAAATTCTGCCTACATCTAGCACTGGGTAACTTTGGGTCAGTCACTTATTCTCTATAACCTCCGTTGCCTCCTCTGTGAGACAGCCCTCCTCCCCATCCCTACTCTTCCCCCCCACCATACACCCCACTTACCTTATAAGAACAGAAGGAAAATAAAATAACATTGTGTCTGGCACACAGCAAGAGCTGTAGAAACAAAGAAATTATGCAAAGCCCCACTGATATAATTTTCTACTTCAGTTTTAATTGAAACCTTGGAGAGATGAGTTCTGGGGTAGACTTGATGGTGGATAAGGAGTCTGGAGAGGGGATCTTAAGACAGAATGCCAATGACAGCCAAGTGCACTCATATCTCTACACACCATTGGTTCACGTCACTTTTAGGTATATCAGTTTTATTTGGCATATTCATATATAAAACCTCTGGGCTTTCTGTTGGAGTCAAAAAAAAAAAAGGCTCCAACCACTCCCAGATGACCTGCCCAGGCCATCCATATCCTGCACTGGTTTTCCCTTGCTGTGAAAGACAGTTGTATGCACACTTACTTTGAGACCTATAAATCAAAATAATTTTAATAGCCAAACACAACTTTCAGATTCCGGTTACTGCTGTCCTTAATTTTCATCCTTCTCAATCCAAACAGAAAGGTATTTTTCACTTATTTCTTGATCAACAATAAATCTGAGAATCTAAGATTTATAGGGGAGGGGAGCAAAGCTCTAGTAGTAGAACATTTGCCTTGCAAGTGTGAGACCCTGGTTTTGATCCCTGGCACAACAAAAAAATAAAGTAAAACAATAAAATAAAATAAAACAAACAGTCCTGGAATGTAAGTCAGTGGTATAGTCCTTGTCTTGCATGTTTGAAGCCCTAGTTTCAATCTCCAAAACCACATACACACAGACACACACAGACACAGAGAGAGAGAGAGAGAGAGAGAGAGAGAGAGAGAGAGTTCTGGAAGGCCCATGTAGATAAACTAGAGCTGACTTCATAAGAAAGGCAGTGCTTGACTGAGAGGTGAATAGCGAATGAAGGTCTGAGCTATGCTTTACCCCATTGTCTTCTGCTCCAGTTCACCTGAGTCCAAGTTTTCTGAGACCAAATGAAGGCATTAGAGTCTTAATTTGGGATCTCCAGTGTCTCCCAGTGCCCCTATATAACCTTCCCTTTCACATGGCCACCTACGAGTTTCTGGCTATACCCATATTCTTCCATGATGCATAAGCAGAAGACACCACAATTTTAAAAAGAAAATTGGCTCCCTGGGTTTAAAAAAAAATTGACCATCTCTTATAAAAAGAAATAACCAAAACTGGGAAAGAGAGAGCTGAGATATTTTTTACTCTTCTCTACTGCTTATTTGCCTTTATATGGGTGGTGCTCTGCAAAAGAGAATAATATGTATTTGATCCTCTGATGGGGAAATTCCTGTATCTCACCTCTAAGTTAGCAGTGGGAATGTGTTGTATTTATAAGCCTTTCTTACAACATCTGGAAAATGCATCAATTAATGAACAAGAACTGCTACATTGAATGGAAAATGCCAGAGTGCAGACTTCTATTACAAATAATTTCAGGGTAGACAGAATTAAATAGAGTCAACAAACAAAAGAAGGAAAGTTATAGAGCAGTGGTTTTCAACCACCAGTCACCAGAAATTTCATGTGGGTCTATGAAAAAGTTATTACCACTGAACACATGGTTTTCATCTTTCAATATTCAATTCAAAAACTTGAGCTGAAGAGATAGTGCAGGAGTTAAGGCATTTGCCTTGCATGTAGCTGACTGGTTCAGTCCCTGACACCGCATATGGTCCCCTAAGTACTGCCAGAAGTGATTCTTAAGCTCAGAGCGAGATGTGGCTTCAAAACCAAAACCTAATACCCAGATTGCTATTGTAAATAGTGTTTCTCATCTCTGCCTTTACTGTTCATGAACTATTTCTCCTGCTTTTATTGGTCCACAGGTATAAAATGTTAAAATTCACTGTTACAGAAAATTTGGAGTTACACACAGTCTTGCTGATTGAAAATGTTCAGAGTACCAATTTTTTATTCTTCTTGAGCTATAGATTAAGTATAGCATCAATCTGTCATTATTATGCACATAGCATTAATGTTAATTCATTGGATGGGCCAACAAAAATCCAATAAGTATAAAAGCAGTAAAATGGCGTCACATCTTCAGTAAAGGAAGCAGATGTTGGAGCACTTTCCAGTGACCAATCCACATTATTCATGCGAATTTGCCCCCCAAGCTTGCTCAGTGCTATCCACATGCACCTTCCATCTTTGAGCCTCCGACTCCTCTAGCCGCACCATCTTTCAAGTCTGGAAGCATTCATGCAGCCTTTAGAGTTTCAAAGTCTGAAACCAGTTATTGGAATCATAGGAGAGAGACTGCAAAGATTTATAAGTGACGCTATCAAACTTTTTTTTGGTAATTTTAAATATGAAAACTAAGCCCTTTCATTCTTTTTCCCCTAGATCATAGACATTACTTTTTTTTATAAGATTTGGTTCAATGTAAAAACTCTCAACCATGTACATTATATTGCTGTGTGTTATCTTTAATAGAACACAGCAACATAAGTCTTTCTGTGGTATAAATTTGCATGTCATTTTTGAGATCATGGCTTGGAAGGTGCTTTATATTCAGACAGAGTCACATAAATTTGACTGCTCATGTTTCTTCAGGGGCTGATTTGTCCAAGAGCAGAACTAAAATCTATTGGAACGGCATTGTATTTGTTCCTGATATATACTAGGAATGGAAAACTGAGTGATTTAATCATGCCACAGCACATGGCCTTCTTAGGGAGTTTCCTAGGACTCTGGGTGCCTTCAACACCACTAGGCTGTGCTGCCTGATTCCTGGAGCTTGTCCAAGAAATGCTCCGGCAAACCCTTCTTGTCTGCCCTTGCTTAATATGGTCCTTCTCTATCCAAGCAGACTTCTTAAGCGGATGCCTTTCATGCTTTGGGCACTATCCCCTCTCGGGTAGGCTGGGTCTCACCTGTCCTTCTCACTCCCCAGGAACACAGCACCTCACAGAGTAGGACGTGAGGTTCTGCATCTGGGCTTCAGGTCTCTTATTGTGATGCCAGCAGCCCGAGATAAATCTCACCCAGGTCGGATGTCAGAGTCCCCGGTCTCCCCAGGACCTGCTTTCCTGTTATTTTTCCACTCTTGCTGGGGCTCTACCAGGGGAGAGCCTTGGGAACCCCAGTGCACATAGCTCTTTGTTGCTGGGTGAATGGGATCACTTGATTGTGCTGCTTTTCTCAAGTATCTTGGGACTGTTCAAACAGTTCTTTGTCCTATTACTAGCTAAAATTTCCTTTTGTTTTGCAGACGGCGAGCTCCTTGATTGTGGCTGACTCTAAAATATCTGGAATCTACAGTTGCATGGCTTCCAATAAAGTAGGAACTGTGGAGCGAAGCATAAGATTTTATGTCACAGGTAAGACACTTGCCTATGCCAGTCACCAGCAAAACAAGTGATCTTTGCTCTCTTCAGCCTTGGCTGCCTCTGGTTGCTCTTATAAATTGAGCGATTCACATTTTTCTTTAAAAAGGGGGGAAAAAAGAAAGAAAACATCCCATAGAATTGTTTAAGGTGGGGGACCTTCATCCTTATTCTCAGGACTCAAATGCATGTTAGGGTCTCTTAGAGAGTTAGTTCCTTGAATTCTCTTCTAGAGCTGTTTGTGTCCATCTTCCTTCCAGGCTGGATTGAGAACTGAGAATTCTTGCATGTGTATTTTGAACTCTCTTCCCTACCTAGCAGAGAGTTTGGCTCACAGCACTTGTTCAATAATGATCCAGGAAATCAGTTGCAGGACATGTGATGACTTGTTTTAAACCAAGAAGCTGATCGTTTTACAGCTTAAATAGCTTCAACTTTGTGGGGAAGGAGGGGAATGAAGCTCTCCAGTAGAAATCTAAAACAGAATTTTATCAACAATAATTCATCTACTTTGGGATAGCATTTGAGAATTTTTAGCCTTTGGTTTGACAGTCTGCAAATCGTAAAACTTCCAAGGTACACAAATGGCACTCCCTATGTCCCTGCATAGATGCAGGAAGGAAGTTAGTAGCTCAAAGTATAAAAACAATTGCCTGGCTCCCCACACTCCCCCAATTTTTGGAGGAAACCTGGGGAGGTTGCCAACTCTCTGGAAACTTCGCGCTGCACTGGTCAGGCTGCAGAATTCTCCAGAAAGAAATAGGCAGATCCAGGATCATGAGACAGATGGATAGCCAGCTCACAGGGAGCCTCCTATTCTCTTAGCTGCCCCTTGGAGGAATCCCTGAGGAGCTTCTCACGGAGCCTTGGAGCTGGAAGGAACTTTAGAGGCTGCTCTTTTTCCTGTCTCCTGCATGTTCCAGATGAGGAAATGGCATTTGGAGAGGTGAAGGGCACAAGGCCGTGCTGTCCCCCACATAGTTCGCCCCTCCCCCCGCAACCCATTCAAGAAGTAGAAGGAACGTCATCTTTGTGTTCTTTCCAAGGAGGAAAGAGAACTTTTTTTTGAGAAGAATACCCATCACAGCTTTCCACAGATTGGTTCTCTAATCCATGTCAGATGACTTGAAATAATTGAATATAAAGTTTTGGACTGTCCTTCAGAGTTGATTGGAAACAAGTTATCCTCTAAATTTCTATAAACTGTGTGTCTGATTTAGAGTGCCAAAGATAGAACAATTCTTCTAGTCTGAACATTCAGGTTTATACAGATTTAGTGGATGCTATGAACCAAGCATTTGAAAGGGTGTCGGTGAAACCCTGTTTTTCTAGGAAGATATTTGTAATACCAAGAAATGAAAGAAATGTTAAATTATACACAAAACACCTAGCATCTAAAGGTATATGCAGAAGGAATGTGGCAAATTAACTTTCCATCATTGAGACACGTATGTAATTATTATACATTCTAGTGAGCACATTTTTTCAACAGGGAATTAACTATTTAAATCAAGATCCAAAGTTGTTATTTTCCCATATTTTATTTACTGAAATAAAAAGAAAACAGCATTATTTATACTAAATATCTTACCCACTATAAAGCAGTTTCAGGGTTTTTATTTTAAATTAACTGAACATTAGTTAAATACAATGCAGGTCTTCACATAACAGCCTCCTCAGTTGTGCCAATCAGTAGCTGAGTGAGGGCTGGCGGGAGCCCTAGGGCATGGTGCAGGTCAAATGTGCTGAGCAGGAAGCAGGGCTGGAGGTGGGAGCAGCATGGGGGTTGGGTTCAGGATAACGCTGATACCATTGGAGAGAGGAGGTGCCCTCACATTTCTATGCACCCATTTGTCTTGCGCAGAAGCTGCACTCATCCAGGCAGCACCTACTCGCTTCAGAGGGGCTTGGATGTGCGCATGGACCAGCTCTCTGATCCCAGGAGATCAGATCTAGAGAAGAGACTGAATGAAGAAAGTCTAGAAACAGGCCTGAGATCATCTTAGAGCGAATTCTGAAATCTCAGAGACACTCCCATACACGATATATGAATGGAGTGACAGGGGCTCTAGGTGGGCATGCCTTCTTGGGTCCTCAAAACTCTTATATTGTAGAAAGACGTATAGAACAGCACCATCCAGCAAGCTGGGACTGGGACCCTTTCCACCTGACCTGCGCTAAAGAAGCTGCAGTGAGAACAAGGGACCATTATGCTCCTTTCTCCATTGTCCAGAACCCCAGGAAGACTGATGGATGCCCAGTGCTCACTGCAGCCCTACATCCAGCTTCCCAGTCTACTGAGGGTTTCCATGGCTGCACTAAGCTTCTGTGCATGGTGTTGCTGAAAAGTCCCAGCTGATAAAACTGATATCCTGCTGAATTCAGAAAAAAATTCCCTTCCACCTCCTACCACTTGGCTACAATTTACACCCTTGGGATGTTGAAAACTGTTCTACTCCCCAGTCTTGTCCATAGGAAAGAGCAATGAGTGTTCAACTTGAATGTACCCACTTGAAGTTTGCATCTTTCTTCTAGAAATTCAAGAGCTTTCATCTTAAAATTGAGCACAGATTCACCCAATCAAACCCTTAAGGCCTGGAATGAAACTTCTCTGAATTATTTTCTACCAGTCCTAAACAGTTCTAGTTTTCACTGGTGGTGATAGATTAATGTTCTTAAGAATGTTGACTCTTACATGTCTTTTCTTTTTTCTGGAAAATGAATGTGTATTTGTTTAGCTTTTATACTTGATTAGTGTGGGTAATGCTGTAAAAGAGCTGGAGTGATAGCACAGCGGTAGGGCGTTTGCCTTGCACACAGCCAACATGGCCGACCCGAGTTCGATTCCTCTGCCCCTCTCGGAGAGCCCGGCAAGCTACCGAGAGTATTCGATATGCCAGACACAGAAACAACAAAGTCTCCAATGGAGACGTTACTGGGCCCGCTCGAGCAAATCGATGATCAATGGGAGGGCCTTTACCTTTACCTTTTACCTTAAATCAGATTCTTGAATCTCTTTTAAACATTTTTTTTTTAAAAAAAGACTGTTTATGTGTGTTACCACATCACGCCACCTTACAGCACAGCGCATTTGCCTCCCCTCAGCTTTTTAGTCATCTCACACCCTCTTGGGGAATCTCAGTTTCTACCGTCAGTCTCTTTTTATTTATTTTATTTATTTTGGAGCCACACCCATCAGTGGTCAGGGGATACTTATGTGCATTAAGGAATGACTCCTGGTGGTGCTCGGAAGTCCATGTGGGATGCTGGGAATCGAACCTGGGTTAGCTATATGCAAGGCGAGCCCCCTACCCATTGTACTATCACTCCAGGTCCTCTATAGTCAGTCTTTTGGTTTGTTTTCATTAGACTTTGCTCACTTGTTTTGTTTCTTTATATTCTATGTATGTCTGAGATCAGAATGCATATTGATATTTGTTTAATCACAATACTTCTTATTTAATATACAGAAACAACTTCCAAATAATAGTGTCACCTTCCAAACAGTGAGAACCAATTAGCTGTGGCCATTAGAATCCTTCATTGCCTCAACTCTAAACTATGGTATTCACTTAAAATACATCATATACTCAAAACAGCAAAAACTTCTAGTAGTCATATTCTTCAATAATATTCCATTCATTCCACAGTAGAAGTAAAAGGAATTTTTTCATTTAATAATTGAAATTCCTTCCTTTTTTTCATAACTGTTTGTATTTGTCTTAACTCAATCCACATATTTGATCTGATCAAGTCAAGAAGTCTATCCCAGATGTGCACCTTGGGGAATAGTAATAAATGAATCTTTCACTTAACCCAGGATTAAGTGTATCTTCTGGCCAAGGATTGATTCTTCTCATGACAGCTCATAGATGCCATGGATGTGTTATGTTAGTTAATGGATGGATATGGGTTATTGCAAGGATTGCACAGAATCTGCAACAGATACTAAAGTGTGGGAATATTTCTTGTTTTCACTTTCAGAGTTCAGAAGCAATTCTTTCTTGGCCTGTTTTTGTACTCAGTCAAAAAAAGTCAACATGAATTATGGGGATAAATCCCACTGGGTTCATTAACTAGTTTAGGACATTTTATTTATCATCTTCCATGGCTTAAAAGAGAATACCAAAGGTTTTATGCTGATTGATCTGAATGATAAAGTATCAGTCTGAAGAGGCAGTTTGATAGCACACAGCAAGTTACCTTCAGTAGCCATGTCCTTCACGTGAGAAACATACCTTAAAACCTGTGTGGTTCTTTTTCTCTTCCTCTGTGTGTGTGTTTGCTCTTTTGCTGGCACTCAGCATGACTATGGGTGTGTAGGCAATTACTGGGGGTGAAACAGGAACAGCTCTGCCTTATCTCCCTGGTTTCCCAATGTCACTAAATGCATTTTATTTTGAGATTCCTGGTGGTGCTTGGCAAAGATAAACAAAATCTTCCATCAGGAAACCTGTGAGCTATTTCCACAGGAAGTTTCAAATCACTAAAGTAAATAGAAACTCTCTACATGATCTCAATGGTGTTACTTGGACTCGCCTGGGTTCTAATGACCAGGAGGAGCCCGCAGAGTTGGGAAGTCTGGGGTCTTTTCAGAAATGAGTTAATTGCACCCACTGTACATTGTGCCTATTGTCGTATCTGTGTAAAAGTTGATTGCTAATGTTTCACCCTCCAAACTTGGAAAATGTTCCAGATATAAAAAGCTGCTGAACTAGAGGGACTATTTCTGACACCTTATTGTTGTGTTAAAAATGACCATCAGCTGCTCCTGCATCTTCTGGCACATTCTTAGATTTTCATTGTAAAAGCAGGAAAACCTCCACTGATCTCCTCTCTCTCCAGCCATTGACAGCTTCATAGGCCTCTGTTACCACCCGCTCCCAGGTTTCAAATGAATACTTTGGCATTTCTTCAGACGTGACACTTTATAATAAAGCCAAAGGCCAGAAAAATCAGAAAAACAAGCAAAGTGAGTGAGATTTAGGAAAGAGTTGATATGATATCTAATTTTGGACTATTGTCCCCTTAAGGTTTAAAGGTTTCTTTAGAGCTTTGTGTGCGAAGGATAATAATAATAACAGCATAACATTGAGCTTTTCATCTTCAAAGTACTTTGTAAAACGTTGGCCCAAATTCTTTGCTCAAATACAGATCCGCCACTAGTAACAAGCAAGGGGAGGGTTTTGAGAGCAGTTCAGTTCAGGGCCAATAGCCAGTGGTGTTTTTTTTTTTAATCTTGTGGTAAAATGATCTCAAATGAGACTGAGGAACTCTCAGCACAAAATCTAAATAATGATCTCAGGCAAGAAAACTCAGAGGAGAGTTCAGAGAGTATTAGTAGAGGGACTTGTGAGATGGAGATTGGCAGTGAGAAACGGACATGGGAGGAAATGGCTTTTAATGATGTTATCACTTGGAGTAAATGTTTCCTATGCCTTTTAGAACCAATTTTATTTGTAAAATTATTCTCTGCCACCCTCTCCTGGACTCCTTACTTTGGACTTGGACAACTCTTCAAGCCTTGTTGTCTGTGGTGTCAGAAGCGAGCCTGACTCTGTCCTGAGTTGAATGCTCACTCTAACAGAGATCAAGACTAGTGACTGCGTGCTTCCTTCTTTGCCTGCCCCCCACCCTGTGCCAAGCAAGAGCAGGGAAGGTCCCAGATCAGCAGACTGAGGAGAATTCTGTCCATGTAGTGTGGGAAATGGGAAGGCGGCTGCTGTTGACTGGAAATGCTCAGGATTCAAGTGGCACTGACTAAAGCGTCCAAGTTCAGACTTTGAGTCTCCTTGCTTGGATCCGACACTTCCTCTTCTCACAACTCCTTTGGGATGAATTTGGGCGTGAAAGCATAGTTGGTGTCTAGCACAACTTGCTCATATATGTCTTCCCTATTCTTCCCATCTCAAATGCCTACTTACCAGTAAGAGTTCTACATGTGCTAAGATGTGAGAAACCTAGTTATCATCCTAACTGGTTTTTAAAAATTCTGTTTTGAAGACAGCATATTTGAGCAAATAAGAAATATTTTCATCCTCCTATCTGGACCTTTTTGTTTTGCGTTTCCTCTCTGGATCTTTATGAAATGGAGTTAGCAGGTTCCTACCTTCTGTATCTGATGAGTTCCCCTAAAATAGAAAGATAGTCCACCTTTCTAGGCTGATATTGAGGATTTGATAGGATCAGTTTTTAAAAGCTTTGGATGTCTCATGATGAGATGTGATTTCATTATGACTCTCTACAAACTGAAGGTCTTTTTTCTTTTATAGATGTGCCAAATGGATTTCATATCAACTTGGAAAAAATGCCTGCAGAAGGAGGAGACCTGAAACTGTCTTGCACAGTTAATAAGTTCTTATACAGAGACATTACTTGGATTTTGCTGCGAACAGTCAATAATCGAACAATGCATCACAGTATTAGCAAGCAAAAAATGGCTGTCACAAACGAGTACTCCGTTACTCTTAAACTCGTCATCAAGAATGTGTCCCTGGAAGATTCAGGCACCTATGCCTGCAGAGCCAGAAACATATTCACAGGGGAAGAAACCCTGCAGAAGAAAGAAGTTACAATTAGAGGTGAGCACTGCAACAAAAAGGCTGTTTTCTCTCGGATCTCCAAATTTAAAAGCACAAGGAATGATTGTACTACACAAAGTAATGTAAAACATTAAAGGACTCCTTAAAAAGTAACAGTTGTCTCATATCATCTTGATTTATTGTCACTGTTGCTAATTTTCCGGCTCAGAGGAGATGCTCCTCCCAAAATGAGTTTGGAGATGATAGGAATAATAATGAGACCCCCCAGTGCCAGCTCTGGGGTCCCCAGTCAGGCTGAGGCTCTCAGGGCCAACTGGGTGCGCGTTTGGATTTGGAGGATCCCACAGTGCCTTTTCTGTTTTTGCGCTTTCTGCTGTCTTCTCCTGCCTGATACACAACAACTTGAGACTGATCCTTTCCTTCTACTTTGATGCCAACTTCTTTTTATTTTTAAGTTTTGAAAGCTGCACAAACTGAATAATTTAAACAAATGCTGGTTTCTGCCAAAGATGGACATGAATCAGTTCACTTTTCCACCTCAGAATAAGTACAGTTGAATTTAAGACTCTGTCGGACCTCTGCCTGGTTTTATTTTGTACTATTGCATCTGCTCTTGATTTGTAAATAGCATCCAGATAGCAAGTGATAATGCTTATTTATTTGAAAATGCTTTTGTTTTTAACATTAAGCACATTACTCTTCAACTGGAGTTACTAAACTGGGCCCCAGAGGTGCAAGATGTTGATGTAATTCAGCAGTGTTAAAGCTTTATCACAGTAAGAATTACAAAAGTCCATCCAATAAACCTACTTCCTCCTTGTCATAAAATTCTGGGTAGCTAGTGGACTATACAGTCGTTGATAGCACCTAAGAGAAAGTGAATTAGACCTCAGATTGAAATATTTTGTCCCCGGCTATCCTGTTTAATGAATTGATGACAATCAAAGATCAGGACAATTAATTTATCAAGTAAATCAAGGCTACTGTGAGCAGAGACTTGGTAAATCCTTTCTTCCAAATTTTGTTCATCTAGAAGTTCACCTTCCCCCTAGGTAAATGTTAATAGGATTTTTTTAATCTGACTTTTCCAAATTTTCCAAATGGTAAACCTAAATTTAAGCAGAAGTTAATCTTTTAGACATTCTTAACACTTCAAAATCAAGAGAGATTTAAATCTCATTTTAAATTTGTATTGGGGGAAAGTAACTTTTTCACCGACTTCATATCCATTGTTCTGTTGTTTTCATTTATGATTGATCATATGTGACTTTCATGAACGATTGGAAAACAAACTATAATGACCAAAATAGCCATGGCTGAGAACACAGTGGCTGGGTCGTTCAATAGGAGGTGACAGTATGACAACTTTTCAGGCTTGGGAACACACCAGACTGTTTCCTTCTTTAGGTAACAGACTCTGTCCCACGGTTAAACTTGTCTTTCACGTGGGAATTGCTTTTGTCAAGTATGAAAGAGTAAACAATAGCATTTCCCCCAGAATGCCAGTTTTATGAAGTCCCAAATGCTCTGAAAACAATTAGCAACCTGGAAGTTGTCAGCCCAAAGGAAAGAATAATCAATTGTATCTTGAAATTTTACCTATGTCTCTTTGGGCCTGGTGTTTTTGTTCATTATAACTCTGTGTTCTCTCAGGAAACAGTGCCCCAGCACCCTAGAATTTGGGGCCTTCACTCTGTAGTAAAGCTAACAAAGTAAGTGGGCTGCTGAAGAGGTGTTAATTTTAAAAATGGTGAACTGGATATGCAGAGGCTGTCATTTTTCCCCCTCCAAGTTACAGTCGCAATTTTTGTGGGAGAGGGGAAATGTGAATTTAGAATGTTAAGAATTAGAATTCTATTGTAAGAATTAGAATGTTAAGAATTCCATAGGGCAATTCAATGTCAGCTGCAAAATCAATCCTTCCAGAGACTTCAAGAAACAGGAAGTGATTGGGTGGTTTGGGTTTTTATTAGTTACTTTGTGGATATGCAGGGAAGGGAGGAGCAAGATTTAGGCAAATTGAATCTAATCAGAGAATGATTGAAATGAAGTAGAGGGTACAAAGCTGGTTCCTGGGTCCCTTTTGAAAGAAGCAATAGAAACTCTGTGTTTAAGCCACCTAGCAGATCTTGGGGCTGCAGCATTGAAAAGTATATGAGCCCAGTGGACAGATAGCTTTGGCTACTGATGAACAGCAGAAATGTTCCATTCATTCTGATTTTTCTCCATTTGAAGGGATAGGCTCCACTTTAAGTTTTAGAAAGTCATGATTTCCAAGCAAGTAACCGAGTTTTGAAAATATGAGTTTGATGTACCTTTCTCATTTAAACCATCAAACCAGTTTGATGGTTTAAATTAATACGATTAATATCATATGTCCATTAGAGATTAGTAAAATATGATTGATCTTTGGTTGTTGGTCATTTAGAAATGAGCCAAACCTGAGACTTGTCAAGTTGGATAACTTTGTTCAGAAATGGGTACCAAGGGAAAAAAAGTCATAATGCTATATGTTTCAGATTTGCTTTATATTTAATTGAGAGGTCTGTGTTTATTTCTGCAGTCCTTTTGTGCTTCTCTTGTTTGAAGTTTGTGTAGTACAGACTGCATTTTGGGGCGTTTTCATGATTTATGCTCCAATAAAAAAAAATCTCCAACGTAATGCATTGTTTTCTAATGCACCTATTGGAGAAGTCCTAATCCTGTCTGTGCTGATGTTATAGTTTATAGCTATGAAAATAATGTGGGTGTTGTAGCCCCATAGCCACACTTCCCTTGTTATAATAAGGCCTTTGAGTAACACAAAGATAAAATATGGTAGAGAGGAAGCTATTAAAAGTCTAATTCAGTGAGCCAGCTCTGAGCCTTAAATGAGATTTGTCAAAGTTGACTTGCTACTGTAGAAGATACTAATTAGTAATAATGAGACAGATATTTATTATGTTAGCATGTTTCACTGATGTGTTTGAGGTTTTTACCATGGAAAATGTCAAAATTGTAACAATCAAGCATGTAAGAATTGTAATATGGAAGGTTCTGATACATGCTCCATTTTCAAGTAGGACCCGTGCTTTGACGCTTGTGCAGAATTTGAATGCAGAAATACTGAACTGGTTCTGCCTCAGGAGGCAAAGTAGGCCAGGAAAGATGCAGCCAACAAGGGTCAAGGACCACTGTGCCATCACTCATGCCACCCTGTGTTCGAAGAGTTTATAAACAGAGCGCTGCCTTCAACACTCTCTTTGCCTTCAGAGTTCATGTTGTATCAAATAAGAATCTCAAAAGCTATGGAAATCAAAATTGAACAAGAAGCCTATGTCTCCTAACAGAGAATAACACTGCCATGTTATATCCTATGTCAACATGTGATGAAAGTTATGTGATCAATATACTTTTGAATTTGAGATTTCTAAATTGCTGTCATGAATGCTAATCCTGAGAGTTTCCCTGCAGGAATAAAAAGAGAAAGGTTTTGGGACTCGGCAGAATCCTGCAGGGACCTGGAATCAAAGCCATTGCCATGTGTCATCTCTTAGAGCTTTGTAATCACTCCTAAACTGCTTTCACAGTTTTAGTACAGTAAGATGAAAAAAATCAAAAATGGTCAGAGAGCGTATACTGTATAATTGAAACCAGTGACGCAGAATGTGTAAGTGATGCCAAAACTCTTTTGATTTCTGTTCCAGAATTTGCCACAAGCGGGGGAAAGGATGATTTGGGAAGGTGGGAAAGACATTAGTTGTTTTTCAGTCTTTTTACCATGGAAGCTTGAGCTACCAATCCAGCACCCGCCTACCTAGAATGTAAACACATCAGCAGGACTGACTACTTCATTTAACTAGAGACACTGGCTCGTGGGCGGCCTTGGGGGTACCCTGATTCCTATGTGGGAGTTTAATGTTGTAATGTATTGAATCCTAATGTATGAAATTCATTTTGTTGTACTATATTGGTTGGCATTTTATTAAAATAAATTGTATTGTATCATATTTGTATGTTTTAAGAGAAAATAATATAAAATACAATATTTGTACTATTATATAGTGCAAAAACTACAAATCTGTGCCTCTGCTTCTTGAATTAATCCTTTGGGCGCTTGCATTGGGGAAAAGGGTGGGGGAAGAAAAGAATCAATAAAGCTTTCAAATTTCAAGAAATTCTCCTGTTGGTCTTCTGCCTTACAATGTGGGTTACTGACAGCTGAGTAACGCACACATGCCCTCACAAACACCATTAATCATCCAGAAACATCTTCACTCGTCACTAAAATGCCGCATATTTGTATAAAAAAAATTCATTATGAACATAGGTACAGAAACTTGGTTTTTTATTTAAAAAAATGTATTAAACTATCATACAACATACTTAGGTTGTAGAAAATATTTTCTCCAAGTAGGGGGAAGGAGAAAACGAAGAAAAGCAAATCCAAAGCCTTGAAATTGAAGACTATTCAATCTGGACCTCAATTTTCCTCTGTTTTAACAAAGCTTGATATGTTGTAGCTTAATAAATGTTATTAAGGAAAGAGCAAGGGTTATTTAGAAAAGAGAAATTTGGGGAACAAAATCTGAATGAAAGCTTCCAGTCAAGTCTTGCTGTTTCAATGTTTAAGATCTTGCAATGCTTATATGATCATAGAATCAAATTGACAAGTATTAACAGCTCCCTTTTTTTATTCACTAGATCAGGAAGCTCCCTACCTCCTGCGAAACCTGAGTGACCACTCCGTGTCTGTCAGCAGCTCCACCACCTTACACTGTCAGGCTAACGGGGTACCCGAGCCTCAGATAACCTGGTTCAAAAACAACCACCAAATACAGCAAGAGCCTGGTAAGAGATTTGTTTCTGATTCCTCTTTGTCATCACCCACCTTTTCTCTGGTAATTCCTACCTCCGTGTATCCAGAGCCAATTGCTGGTAGAGCTGTAACTCTGGATACTGGCCTCTTGCTCTTTCTAACAACAGTCTCAAATGAAGACTAAGGGAGCCTCTTTTCTTTTTACTGGGGGATGTTTTCCCAGTGGTATGAGAGATCTAACCCGGGGCCTTGAATGTGTGCTTTACCACTAGACATGACCCAGGCTTGGAACCTACTTTTTTATGGAAACCACATTTCCATAGAAAGATGCTGACAGAATTAACTATACATGGTGCAGTCAGCTGGCCTGAGATATTACAGAGTTTTAAACACCTGGTATATGTGAAATTCTAAGAAGGGTCCTAATCTTTTCACCTGACCCATGCAAATTTCAGTGATTTGGTAAAAAAAAAATTTGCCAGTCCTTGCTCAAGGTGATAGAATGACTTACAGTCTTTCCATCCCCAAGCAGAGTTTTTAAAAAAATATTTTATATTACTTGTTTTTAAAAGAAAAAGTTAGTTAATGGTTACCTATTACATTTTTTCAACCAAACATATATTTTAAAATTAGACTTTAATCTGTCAGAATAAATACTATCTTTTGCCCACCTTGTAATTCTGGGGTTACATAAAACTGAATTAAATTTTATAATTTTAATTCACTATTATAACATAATAAAAATAAAATGATTGCTCATCTGCAATATTCCAGCAATCCAAATCAGAAACCTGAAAAGAGAAATTTGGGGAACAAAATTGCTTTTTTTGCTCTTTGTATTGATTTTTACCACAGATGTACAAAGTGTAGCTCTGACCTGTAGCTTCCTTGCTTCAAGACTTCTATGGACTGTCTGGTGCTCAAGACCAAGTTCAAACATCTGATGAACAAGGTCCTCAACAAGTGGCCAAGTCTGCTCCTCTGACTCTTGGCTCTTCCGCCCTCACATTGAACTTGACATTCTCATGATTGCTAGACTCTTGCAGGGCCGCATAACACAGGCTATGCTACTTCAGCCCCTTGAGCCTTTTCTAAGTATTGTTGTCACCACTGCTGGAGTACCTTCCCTTCAAGTAATACCTACCCATCCCAGTATACCCCAAACCAGATCAGGGGGTCATGCTCCAGAAAACCTTCTCAACTCCTGCCAAGAGAGGTAGCACTTCTGCTGATCCTTCTAATCTCTCTTACTGAGTTGTTTTCTGATCGATGGCTCATATGTGGCTGTACTGTCTGTACTGATTTCTAATGTTCTCTTACTAAAAGTGTTGTCATCATACCGTGTATTCAACCTGAATCTTTGTCTGTTTGTATCTTTTGTCTTTATAACCTCAGAATCTAGTATAATTCATGGCAGTCAGTAATTGTTTCATAAAGTAATTAATGGTTTTTGGAATATCATAGCCAGTTTCATTTAGTAGCACAAATAACTACACTTGATGAGGATAGGTGAAAAAATAATCAGAATTTTTTTAAGTTAAAGGGCTTTTGGTCTTCAGTCTTGTTTATAGAAGAGAAAATTAGTTCCAAAGAAGTAAAATGATTTACCCAAGATTGACACACAATGAAGATATGCAGTTTCATAGAAAATTAACCCTTTGAAGTACTCTACTAAAATGAAAGAATGAAAGGGTACATGAATAAATAAAAGCCTATAAAACATGCATGCAATACTTCCTTTTAGAGAGGGGATTCAGAATTAATATCAGTATAGAGAAGACCCAAAGAAACCCTGTTCTCAAAAACTCAGGTGAGCTATGGTTTAAGTTTCATATTTTTTTGCAAGTTAATCACAAAATCTCTTTTATTAAATCTTACCTCCAGATATCTGATGGTTCTTAGGAACAAGTAAATTTGATTCTAGTTGCATTTGTAGGTGGTGGAGGTAAGTTAAAGAGAGATGAATCGAGTTTGAGAGCACATGGCCATTCTGGGACTAGAGGGAAGACGCTTCAGTTGCTTCAAAGGGGAGAAGCTGCCAACATGCTTGGGAGCGTGAGTCCAGACAACACCTTCAAGGGGCATAGAATTTAGGCGATTCACTTATTCTTTTCACAGAGCCTCTATTTCCTTTTTAATAAAATTGGGATGATACTGGCCACACAGGCATGTGGTAAGGCTTCCCTGTGACTGTGTAACCAAGCTGGCCCAACTCATTATGAATGAAATTCGCCAATGAGTTGTCAGAACTGGTTGCAAGGTGAAGAAGAATAATGAAGTCCATTCAAGTATGAAACGACTCTAAATATAATAACAGTATCTCCATCCTGTCTTCGTTGATCAGAATTCTGAGAGCCGAAAGATTACAAAAAGGAGTCTTGCATACGTTTTAAAAAGAAAATCAGGTGTATGGGGGGTAGGATGGGGCAGGAAGGGCTACAAAGCAGGCACCCAGTGGTGGGCAGGGCATTGTGGTGGTTCTGTGGTGCCACAGATTGAACCCAGGTCTCATGTATATGAGCGACAGGTACTCTTGAGTTGCCACCCAGGCCCCATTACATAGATTCTTCATGAAATCTTTATAAATTTTGTTTTAATATACTGCTAGCATTTATTAAATTTAATTATACTAAATTGTATAATTTGTCAATTCTCTTCCCCCATGTCTTCTCTCTCTTCCCTTTATTCAGCCTTTAAAACTATCATAATCTCCCAAAAAGGAATTCCTAATTTTCCAGAAATGATTTCTTACTTGTATAGAGTTTACAAATTTTCATGCATAGTAACCCATCTGAAGCCAATGCAATATATTCTAATACTCTGAGAACTGGCAAAAATACCAATTATTTCAGTCATTTAATTATTTGTTTTTACAAACCTCTGAATAAAGATTATAGGTAACAAAAGTGATCACTGCTTGTTCCAAAACTGAAATTTAAAAAAAAAAAGTCACTGTAATAACCTGAGAGAGAATAAAGATCAACTGCCCTTAGAGGAAGCCTTGAGAAGCGAGACCAAGCTTAAAAATCTTGAGAATAAACTGTATGTCCTTTATTTAACATCTTGAGATGCATCCTTTATACAAAGCCAGGCAATATGAAAGAATTAACATTACTAAGTCAGAGTATTTAGGTGACCTTGGATCACTGAGAGGATCTGGCCCGTGACTGTCATTATTTGTTAAACAACAACTTACACTCTTCCAAAGAAAATAAGACAGAGGAAGCATGGCGCACACAACAGCTCGCCCTCCTGGACAAGTGGCCATAGACGCCTGTTGAAAGAAAGGCGGGGAGCCGTGGCCTTTTTCCTCACTCCTCATTTCCTCTCAGGAAAGCCTTGCAGTGGGGCATAGCACTCTAAAGAAGACAAGCAACTTCAAGAAAGTGTCAAGAAAGCTGAGTAGGACATTCTTGGGTCAAAGGGCATCAGGCAGGAACAGAAGGGGGTTCCTCAGCTCACAGCCCAGGAAAGCATGTGCTCTGGGGCCTGAGGCAGTCTTTATAGATTTGAAACGTGCTGAAAACTAACAGTGTCTGCGCTCAGACTGTGGACAATGGAATGAGTCATATTGGACAAACTTTGAGTCTCCTTCGTGTCTTCATTACCTCTCCAGGCCACCTGCCCAAAGGACTTGTCACTTCCTGGTCAAGGAAGTCCCTTTTGTACCTTATACTCTTCCTAAAGGAGGGCCCAAAAAATGGATAAAGTTGTACCAGAGCTGAGCCAGCAGACGGGGCTCGTGGGAGGCCTCTGTGGGCAACTTCCTAACCGGTGGTACTGTGAGAAACTGAGAAGTTTCCAAAGCAGACACAGCATAAGGTGGCTCTAGCCCAGTCGCCCACTGACCAGACTGATGAACCATCTCACTAGAGATTATGCAGAGGAAATAGGTCTCCTGGAAAAGTCCATCCGGTGCTGAGAGAAGTAACAAACACTCCTCTGACAAAATTTAGAACAGAGGGCAAGACTGTTTTAATAAAGCCTGCCTGAACTGAGAAACCATCACTAAGCTGTAATTTAAACAAAACTGCCATGACAACAAAAAAACATTTTTAGCATTATTTAAAGATTTAAACTACCAAGACTGACAAATCAATCAATCAATCAATCAATAAATGATTTTAAAAGGTGAACTATCAAGGGGCCAGAGAGATAGTTCAGTGGGTAGGGTGCTTGTCTTGCATGCATGTGGTCAACCAGATTTGATCCCCCGCCTCCTAGATGGTCCCCTGAGCCTCTCCAGGAGTGAGTCCTGAGTGCAGAGCCAGGAGTGACCCGTGAGTACTGCTAGGTGTGGCCCCAAACAACAACAACCTAAACTACCAAGACTGAGAAACAATAAAGTCTGTGTCACATAGGCTGAGGCTGGAACAGTTTTGCTAGAATTGCTTTCACACAATGATCAACAATGAGACCTTGGTCACTAGGATAATTTAGTTACCTCAAAGGGACAGATAACCTTTCACTACTACCTCACTGGCCCCAAATAGTTGCAGTCTGGAGCACCAACTTATACTCTTCAAATAGAGGTGACTTAAGTGTTTTAGAACCTGGGGCACAGAATCCCATCCAAATTGCAAAGTGGTATCAAAGATCTCCAAGGTTAAGACTCAGTAGAGGGGCTGGAGCAATAGCACAGTGGGTAGGGCATTTGCCTTGCACGTGTCCAATCTGGGTTCGATTCCCAGCATCCCATATGGTTCTCCCAGGCACTGCCAGGAGTAGTTCCTGAGCACATGAGCCAGGAGTAACCCCTGAGCATCACGAGGTGTGATCCAAAAACAACAACAAAAAAAGACTCAGTGGAGGGGCCAGAGTGGTTCGACAGGTGATATGCTTGCCTTACTTGCGTCTGACCCAGATTTGATCTCAGTGTGAGCCAGGAATAAGCCCTGAGGACAGCTAGATGTGTGGCCCAAAAAGCCAAAATGAAAACAGGGGGGGAAAACTCAATAGAGAATTGAAGAAGAATATTACATCTGTAAAATGATAACAGTCTCCCTCAGGCTATTAGAATCAACAGCCTTGA